ATGTGGAAGAAGGTGCTCTGGTCAGATGGAACCAAAATCGAACTTTTTGGCCACAATGCAAAATGATATGTTTGGCGTAAAAGCAACATAGCTCATCACCCTGAACACACCATCCCCACTGTCAAACATGGTGGTGGCAGCATCATGGTTTGGGCCTGCTTTTCTTCAGCAGGGACAGGGAAGATGGCTAAAATTGATGGGAAGATGGATGGAGCCAAATATAAGACCATTCTGGAAGAAAACCTGTTGGAGTCTGCAAAAGACCTGAGACTGGGACGGAGATTTATCTTCCAACAGGACAATGATCCAAAACAAAAAGCCAAATCTACAATGGAATGGTTCACAAATAGACGTATCCAGGTGTTAGAATGGCCAAGTCAAAGTCCAGACCTGAATCCAATCGAGAATCTGTGGAAAGAGCTGAAGACTGCTGTTCACAAACGCTCTCCATCCAACCTCACTGAGCTCCAGCTGTTTTGCAAGAAAGAATGGGCAAAACTTCCAGTCTCTCGATGTGCAAAACTGACAGAGACATACCCCAAGCGGCTTGCAGCTGTAATTGCAGCAAAAGGTGGCGCTACAAAGTATTAGCGCAAGTGGCCGAATAATATTGCACGCCCCACTTTTCAGTTTTTTATTTGTTAAAAAAGTTTAAATTATCCAATACATTTTGTTCCACTTCACGATTGTGTCCCACTTGTTGTTGATTCTTGACAAAAAAAATACATTTTTATATCTTTATGTTTGAAACCTGAAATGTGGTGAAATGTTGAAAGGTTCAAGGGGGCCGAATACTTTCGCAAGGCACTGTAGATACTTTAATTATCCCTTGTAGGAGATCTTCACAAAATTTGTCTCATAGATCTGCTCAAAACAGTGAGTGTGACACAAACCGTTACCCGAGCTAGCTGAGTTTACTTTCCAATCAGGAATCAGGGCGAGTTGGAGCAAAACTTCACGCATGAGCATTTCCCCATTTTTCTTCATTAAGCTAGCGGGTTAGCATTGTCCAACTATCTCTAGTCTGTGCTTATTGACCAGTCACTGATGCTTTCACAGCACTTTGATCCTTTTGTATTTCCCCTGAGAAACAATCACAGATCAGAACCATTGATTTCTGACTTAATGTTATCAATATTGTTTCCGGCAGCAGTCACTAACATGAAGTTCAGCAATACAGCACTGCATCTCCACAACCTCTCATCACATCTGTAGAGAAGTCCCCAACCTTTTCTCTTGTAGATGTCATGGTGTGGACTTTTTGATTACTGTTACCTGGTTTTACTTTGATAATGGTTCTCTCTGTTCTCTGATTGGCTGCCCCGCCCGAGCATATTTCTCTGTCTATTTATACCTCGTTCTTGTCGTCTCAATTTCTAATCTGGAATTGTGTGTTTTATCGTTACCCTAGATTTGGACTCTATTAATTACATTTCGTTTTCAGTCCTGCAATTTTGGGTTGCCTTTTTTCATTTCACCACAAAGATGGAGAGCAATACCTTTTTCAGGACAACACTGGCAGACACCTTGTAGAACAAATAGTTGTGGTTCATTAGATTAAGTCATTTTTTTATCTTTATTTTCAAATTAAGATTATTTTTAAAAAAACTTAATCCACTGTATATTCACATTTTGTCCCGAACGTGGAGAGGAGTAGAGCGTCTGGTGCAGGGACTGTCTTCAAAGCCTCCAGATCTCCACCAGCTGCAGACCACGCCTCGAATCCCACACGGGACCATCTCATCTGCTGCTACCACCTGCTCTTCCAAACCGCCTCTCTATAGCCACAGCTGCCCTTGAGCAAAGTACCCAGACTTTCCCTGCTCAACTTCCAAAATTTGACTGGGGATTGATATAAGTAAGCTAAACTAACTTTTTCCTTCCCACAATAATACATTTACTAAGTATCACAGGTGCCTTTGTCTTACACTGGCATTTTACATCTAGCCATTTCATTAAAGCTGGGGTATGTAACTTTCAATCCAGAAAAAATCTCTAGTTTTCACATGCATGTATTCCAGGCCTTTGTCACATCAGCTTTTCCAGACAGGCTCAGACAATCCTCTCTTTTGTGTCTTTTTACTGTTTTACTTTGGATATTTCCACTGCTACATCCGGGATTGAAAACAGAAATAAACATTGAATTACAAAAAAAAATAACATAGACATGACAAAAACACATAAACTAATGTGAATGTGAACTTTGCAAGGTCCCACTGAGAGAGCGCTTTTCCCACTGCTCCCAGAAGCTGTTTTAGTCCAAGCAGCAAATGGTTGTTTAGACGACGGAAGCCAACGATGATTATGGACTTAGTGGTCAAAGCACAATGCATCATGGGACGGGGGGGTCGCTCTCTCTGAGTTTAATGAGAAAAATCCAGTTGTATATACATAGGTTTATCATCTCAGGCACACAACAAACATCTTCATAGTGTACCTAATATGGGCCTAATATGAAGAATATACAAGGCAAACAAAACAAGATAGAAGCAAGCAGACAATCATAGATAATAACAGTACATTAAAAAGAGTAAAGATAAAATCCCTTAGTTGTTGCAGCGAAACAGAGCTGTTTTAACCTGAATTTGAAAATTTTCAGGAAGACTGTTCCAGATTTTAGCTGCATAAATCTGAAACGCTGCCTCCTCATGTTTAGCCCTGAATCAGAGTCCGAGTTGGTACATTTGACACTAACATATCATAGTTTGTTAGTGATAGACCAGTTTTTATCAAGTTTGTTATTGGTTATCTCTCTCTGTCTCTCTTTCTCTGTCGCTCCTCTGCTTTGAAAAGTGCAATCAGGACCAAAAGTTCTCAGGTCACACTCTGTAAATATTAATGGACTTAGTTACGCCTATCTCTGTCGTTGAAACTAATGTGCCATCACTTTTGCCTTCTGTGGGGCTTTTTCAAAATGGCCACAAGGCAGGAAAATTTGCCCATGCGTTAGCCGGCAGGAGCCTGATTCATTTGACGAGTGCTTTCTGAAGTCCACAGCGGCAAAACTAGACTGGTGTGAAAAATACATTATCCTCCGCATTGACACACATCTGGAACATAGCTTTGGGCCAAGAGCTGACTTTTGGACCATCCCGTAAAGGCGTTTTTGAGAGGAAAGAAGTTCTGTGATTATTCATGATTTTAATGTTTCTTTTTGTGTTTGCCCCAGCCCTTTCGAGTTTCCATGTGTGTGAACTGTGCTATTCAAATAAACTTGCCTTGATTTGCCAGAGTGTGATGTCACAGTGATGGAATGACATCACACTTTTACAGGACAGAGACAGGAGCTTTGAGATATCCTGATATTAGCATGACTGTAGCTTGGTTAAAAGAGCAAGAATTTGTTTCTTATGTCTCCTTTAATACTTGAGGAACCATGTTGAGTTCTTCCTGCAATACCACCCACGTACCCCCACTTGGGAAACACTGCTCTGATGTGTCCTTGTGTGTGTGTGTTGTCCTGTTTGTATCACGGCCATGGAGACAGTGGAGCTAAAACCCAAACACCAAGGGCCTTATCCATCAGACAGATACACTATCAGCTCTAGACCCAAAGTCTTTCCATCTCTGTGAGTCTGTGAGTCCTTCGCTGCTAAACTTAGAAACGGACACGCAGGCCTGCTTCATGCGCTGTGGGAACCAATCAATATTTAATGCTTTCGTACTTTGGTCATTCTCGAGCATATACATCGCAAAAAGTCATGAAAAATAGGTCAAAATGGCAAAAAAATTATCTTAATCTGAAAACATTCTGACTGCCTCAAGACAAGATTTGCCAATGGGACAAAACAAAATGATCGTGTTTAAATAAAAATAAACAGTCCTTGAGATAAGACAGCCAATGGAGAATCTTGTTTTAACACCAAAAATAACACTCGATTCTTGCATTTATTACCTCATATTTTATCCTTTTTTGCAGTGTGTCATTTTGTCATTGTGTGTATGTGTGTGTGTGTGTGTGCATATGAACACCTTTGTTTTTATGCGAGTCAAACTTAAATCGCATCAAATGTTTCCCTTTACCCCAACAGAACAACACCACTGTCCAAATCTGCGTTTGTGAGCACTTCTCCTTAATGCATGTTGTATTTAGCCGACATTAATGTTGCAGGTGCTTGAGGCTGATCACAAAAAAAGGTCACTTTTGCTCAACTGTGGCCACTGGGGGCACAAAGGGTCTGTCACACCAGCTTCATACAATGTGGAACTTGAATCTCGTCTTCTGAATGTTATAAAGTCAACTATCTTAGGAGCATTTTTGTCACGGCCCTATCTCTCTGATTGTGAGGCCCCTGTCACTCTGTCACTTGAACTCGAGATAGTAGAGTCATGATGGATGTGAGCAGAGACTGGATCCTGGATCGTCTCATGCCTCGTGGACCGTAAACTTTTAAGTCACGCAACGGGAATGATCCACGATATATAGCATAAAGAGATCGGGATTTTAAACATGCTTCTTTATTATGCAAAAGTTAGATTCTAAACTTGGAGCAGCACGAAACACATCCACAAACAAAACATACAGAGTTCTTAAAGTTACTAATAATGTAGGTGAAGTAGCAGGAGTAGTTATAGTAGAGTAAAAGTAGCAGTAGTAGCAGCAGCAGTAATAGTAGTACTAGTAGTAGTAGTTTTAGTTTTTAGCAGGTGAGGCCACTTTTAAAGAGTCCGAGTCCTGCAGTACCCGGGCCTCCCCCGGGTCGCTCCCCTCTTTCTGGGTCACATCCCCAGGAGCTCGCACCTGTAAGTCCACCTGTTCAGGGAAGCGAGGCTGGATTCTCTGGCAATAAGACCAGCCCAGAGTCAACCGTGAGGCAAAGCTTTTTTTCTCACTCGATGTCTCCGGGCTAGGATATATAAAAAAAGAAAGTAATGGTAGTAGTAGTAGTAGAAGTAGTAGTAACTAGGTCACAGCAGCAGAGGTGGTGTGTATATCTACCCCCATCCCTGGATAAAGGGAAAATGCGGTGAGAATAAAGGACGTTGCTCTCTCTGCAAGTTTATTGAGCTCTGAACCTGTAGCCCAGACACAGATCTGCCTCTTCCACAGTTCTGCCTCTTCCACAGTTCTGCCTCTTCCACAGTTCTGCCTCTGCCACAGTTCTGCCTCTTCCACAGATCTGCCTCTTCCACAGTTCTGCCTCTGCCACAGTTCTGCCTCTTCCACAGTTCTGCCTCTTCCACAGTTCTGCCTCTTCCACAGTTCTGCCTCTTCCACAGTTCTGCCTCTTCCACAGTTCTGCCTCTTCCACAGTTCTGCCTCTTCCACAGTTCTGCCTCTGCCACAGTTCTGCCTCTTCCACAGTTCTGCCTCTTCCACAGTTCTGCCTCTTCCACAGTTCTGCCTCTTCCACAGTTCTGCCTCTTCCACAGTTCTGCCTCTTCCACAGATCTGCCTCTTCCACAGTTCTGCCTCTTCCACAGTTCTGCCTCTTCCACAGTTCTGCCTCTTCCACAGTTCTGCGTCCTGCAAAGAACTGAAGCATCAACGACAAACGATCGATGAAACGAGCAAACGACAAGAGGAAGTGCATTCGATGGTGAGGAATCCTGCGGTCTAAGGTTTCAAAAAATCACACGTCCTTGTTTTGTCTTCAATACAAAAACTTTACTCATCTAATACACTGCAAAAAGTCACGTAAAACTAGTAAAATGCATCTTAATCTAGACACATTCTGATTAAAGGAGCAATATGTAAAAATCTGGCCAAAAGTGGTACTGCAGTCACAGTCAATATTTTGTAGTCCTCTCCCACTCTCCCTGACTCAGGTTGCCAGATTCACACCAAATCCAGCAGCAAACACAGGGAATTATTTTATCAGTTGTTTGTCCGTCTCCATTCACATTGCCATGACAACCGTGCTAATGCTGAATGAATGTTTTGATTAATGTTTTTTTATTATTATTATTTGGACATTTGAGATAAAAAACAAAAACAAAATAAAAGCAATGTAATTATACATAGTTTATGCAAAATAAATAAGAAATTGATGTCCAAAATAGGAATGGGAAGAATGGATGTTGGAACGTATTTCTTCAGCGTATCAACATCAGGGTTTGCTCAAGAGGATATCACCTTTCAATTTTATTTATTCCCTATTTTTTAGACAAACATGTAAAAGTCCCACATCAAAAAGAGACTAACATTATTTTAATTGGGGTACATGTGGTCTTAAATGATTATTTTTACAATTAAGCTATAATCTGCAAAAAAACGTCTTGACCTTCATCTTTTACCGTTTTTAGAGCAATCTGTCATAGAATGTGATAACATGCAATAAATACAAAAAGACATAGCCCGGGATCGAACCCGGGTTCCTGCATCGTAAGCACACAGTTTAGACCACTAGACCAACGATTCACACGAATAGAGACACTGTGAAGAACGGACTCAAACTAGAAAATTCTGCATCACACGTGAACTTTCATCAGCTGTCTCAATTGTTCAAAGGCATCCCGATATAAATCCTCGTTTTAGTCTTTGTTTTGTCATTAATGATTTGAGAGTCATAACAAGACCTTTTTTAGTTCTGCGCCACATGTTATTTTACCACTGAGAATAATGAGCCGCGCGGAGTTCTGGCAACCCGATCACGGACTTACATGACACTTCCTGATTGGCGAAACGGCGGAGGGTAGGACATCAAAATCAAAACAATAACAACTTTTACGGGTCGTAAAACTAATTTTGATAATCAAATATCTCGGCTGAACTACTGTTATCAGTTAAAGATGAATTCGAAAAGAGTATGATTTAATAACGCCTTTTGAAATATTCGGGTCATTTAATGATGACTTGACATGCAAATATTACATATTGCTCCTTTAAGCAAAGAAATCTTGTTTTGAAAAGGTACAATAAATGTCTCCATTCGAATGTGAAAATAAAGCAGCTGTTCTTAAAATGAGGCTAAATGTATTTGTCCCATCGGAGAATCTTGTTTTGTTTTTTAACACAGACAGAGGGCTACTCTTTTAAGCGGCCCTGTGAAAAATATATTGGTGTGAACAAGCCTAATATTTGATACAGTCATTATTTATCATTGCAGCATTATTTCCAGGGAACAAAGGAAATGCATTTACAATAACAAATAATGAATTATTATGACTGATTCAATCTGGAATATAAAAAATAATATTTGATTGGTTCATTTCTACATCCTTTGGCGAGCTACCTGGAAGGTGGTGGCGAGCTGCTGGCGGCTGCCGAGCTGCAGGTTGACAAAATTACATTTTGTCATTTTTTGCAGTGTCAAAGAAGAAATCTCTTGCACACTATCTACTTGCAATTTCTACTAATATTGCTCCAAAAAAATCATAATGTAACATTTAAACTAATTTTAAACAAAGTGGAGTACTGGAGCTGCTCACCTGCTGACGATTGGCAAACATCCTCCATTTTAAGCTGTGCTCTGCTGCCAGTCGATGCCAGATTGTCTGTTGTTGGTGTCAGCTGCTCCGCTCCAGTCACTGCCTGTCTTTTTGTTCCCGCTCTGTTCCTGATCCTGCCATTCATTTTTGTAATAAATACCTTTTTATGAAACTGTCTTGAGTCTCCTTTGGGTCCTATCCATTGTGCCATGAGAATTGTTGTTGTTTAAAAAAAAAAAAGAAAACAACTTTTATGGTTTCAGCCCCGACCATAATGAGTTTGCCACCCATGATCTAAACCATGACGGTTAGCATTGTTACCACAAAGAATTTTTCAATTTATCAATGTTAAATGCTTTGAAGTCACGTGAATGCAACCTATTAGTGAACTAAGGGCACTCACCAATGTATGGGCCTATCCACTGACCGCAGTAGACCTTCACTGATAATAAACTTCCTCCTCGGCCTCTGGTCAGTGTCAGAGTGAAGCAGCAGATCTCAAAGAGACCTGTGAGGGACTCCTGTAGGAAAATGTGGGAAAAAAACACACTTGTGCATGCGTCAGCATGAACCCCGTGCATTAAATAAGTGCATTCTTAAAGGCTAGAATGGTTGAGAAAAAAAATTTAAAATAACTCCCCTTGTAGCCTTCTACAGGGTCCTCCAGGGTTTTCCAAGGTCGTCCATGGTCATCCAGGGGTCCTCCAGGTCCTCCAGCGTCCACAAGGTCCTCCAGGGGCCTTCATGGTCCACCAGGTCCTCCATGGTCCTCCAGGTCCTTCAGGGTCCTCCATGTTTTCCAGGGTCTTCCAGGTCCTCCAGATCCTTCAGGGTCTGTCTGAGTCTGTAAAATCTGTAAAACCAGCAGCAACGTCACACGAGCAACTGTAGGTAAGGATTGTATCGTCAATAATTTTTTTATGTACTGTCATTATTTATGAGGTTAACGCCTTGTGTGATTTTAATATAGTGCTGTACTTTGCTTGTACAGCACTATACTATCTATTGGCCAAAACTGTGAAAATAATTATACGTATGAAATATATATCCTTCCTGTATTTCTTTTCCTTTCCTTTGTTGAGACACAGACCTCAGACATCACTTTCTTCTCTTCTTTCTTTCTTCCTTTGGACCTAATATAATAAAAGCTGCTGTCTGCTGCTGTTGCTCGGTTACCACCGTTTCCCGAAGCACGTGAATGAGGCACGAGAACGTAGGGAACCGCGCAAGTGACGCTAGAACGCGACTAACGACTAACGAGACTAACGCGCCGCCATCTTAGGACTGTACAGACACCCGCGCGTGAAGGCAAAATGTATGAATCAGACTGTACAAGAATTTCTCAATGGAGCAATACAACAAGAAATACCAAACAAGAATAAACAATGGATTTTGGCAAAAGCGATGGAATTTTGTTCAAAAGTTATAGATTATATGTACAGTTCTGGTTAGACACGCCCATGTTCACCCCGCTTCATGATTGGACAAAGTGAATTCAAATTGGTGATGGACAGACAAGGTGTTGTACAATGTGACAGTACCACATGGTCCCTCATCCTCTCACGGCCCCTCATCCTCTCACGGCCCCTCATCCTCTCATGGCCCCTCATCCTCTCATGGCCCCTCATCCTCTCGCGGGCCCTCATCCTCTCACAGCCCCTAATCCTCTCGCACGCCTCTCTAGCGTCCCACACACACAAACAGGGGCGGGTCGTATGCAAATCCCCCCTCTCTGTGAATAGACTCCGCTCCTCCTCCTCCTCTGCTCCACATCACACTGAAGAGCGGGAGACACGAGCCACAACAACCGGAGAAAGTGCACCATCGCGCCGCATCCAAAGCCCAGAGAGCCTGCTGCACCAGCGACCATCAGGCGCTATGTCCTCCAAGTGCCCCAAGTGCGAGAAGACCGTCTACTTCGGTGCGTCATTGCGCTGGTTTTGTGCGGTATTTCGTGTTGGTTTATTTGAATGGGATGCGCCTCATGGCTCAAGCGAAGCTGGTTTTGACAGAAATTATGTCATTTTGCTCCACGCGTTCATTCATTATGACGTATTTGGATCTGATCTATGTCCATGTGTTTGAACCAGTACTGGCTTCTTTCATTGTTTTCATCATCAACCATACTGTAAACACATTCTTCAACTATGAAAATTGCACTTTTAAAAATTATTTTTGTACTTCTAATTGTAACTGGGGTATCTAACTTGTATATTCATAAGTGATACACCTGTGTGTCCCACTCCCAATAGCTAGAAAGTAAAAGTAACATGTGGTATTTATCTTATCAGACAATAATTGCAAGCTTGAGAGTCACTAATTGACTTGATTGGCTTTCTTAAAAAAAAAAAAACTGGTTTTACACACGAAACAAAGGTCTATTTATGAAGCTACATTCTTAGATGGTTGTTAAAAAGTTGTGTTCCCCAGCTTTCTGCCTTTGCACAGTCTGCTTGTTATTTGCTGAATGCTTTAGAAATTTTAGAAAATCCCTGTACAAATGTTGTTTTTGCTCAGGTCTGTCTGTGAAATATATTTAGGAGAAAGATAAAAGAGCAAAGTGGTTCTCAGAAGTGGTTTCCAAATGTAGGTTACAGCAACATCCCAGGTTTGAAGAATGTCTCACCTCGTTCCAAACATTCCTTTGAAGTATTCTCTTTTTGTCACAGGCCGGAGTAATGATTGACAGGAGAGGACTTTGGGAAAACTGACAGATGACAGCAGTGTAAATATTTGAGGCTAAATGTGGGTGAAATGTTGAAATTGAGCAGCCATTCTTCGCACACAGCCTTTCTGAGTGGAGTTTGCATGTTCTCCCTGTGTATGCGTAGGTTTCCTCCGAGCTCTCCGATTGTTCCCCTCTCCGTGGAATCTCTGGTTTTAAAAAAAAAAAAAAAAGGTCAAAACATGTGTAGATAGTGTGGTGTCTGAGGATCTATCCGCATTTATGGACCGATTTCTCTATGTGTGTGTTATCATTGCATTTCCTGTGTTGTAACTGTCTGATTCTCTGATCTGTGTCGGAGAATCGGCAGGTTTGTAAAGTCCAACTGTCGTGATTTAGGCCGATTTTAATTGAAGTGGGTGGGAGTTTGGAGCCTTTTGAAAAACTCACGCTTACTTTTCCATCTGGGCTTTTTTCGTTCCGTTTCTACTGTAGACTATAGGCAAGTTTTTTGTATAGCACGGTTCATACACCAGGCAACACTTACATCGACTTACATTGAAAAACAAACTCTTGGCTAAAATATTTGTCCCTTTCCTCAAACATGTTTTTATAGACTGTAGAGGACACAATACAAATTTAAGCCTTGTAACCTTCTCCTTTAGCCCATAAAATTCAAATTTCAATCTCTAATTATTAGGAGTGAATTGAGATTTATTTTGGTACTTTTTAAATATTTTGTTTTGGTTTTAGAGTTAGGTGTGTGGACTGGGTTGTCGAGGTCTCCGCCTTCGACTGCTACCCAGTCCTCGCTGCACCTCGCCACCACGGACCCCTCTGCAGGTGGTGGGCCCACAGGAGGGACTGCCCACGTCATCCCTTCGGGCTGAGCCCGGCCGGGCCCCGTGGGCTAAGGCCCGGCCACCAGGCGCTCGCTTGCTCGCCTGGCTCCAGGGTGGGGCCCCGGCTGCACCATGCCGGGCGACGTCACTGTTCTAATATAAGTGCTGTCCATGTGCTTCCACCGGGAGGAGGCCCCGGGGAAGACCCAGGACACGCTGGAGAGACTATGTCTCTCAGCTGGCCTGGGAACGCCTTGGGGTCCCCCCGGACGAGCTGGAGGAGGTGTGTGTGGATAGGGAAGTCTGGGCGTCTCTGCTTAGACTGCTGCCCCCGCGACCCGGCAACGGATAAAGCGGAAGAAAATGGATGGATGGATGGATGGTTTTAGAGTTCATATTTCCATTCTAAATAACACCTAGAGCGATTGGTCCGAGCGACATGTTTTGTCCATTCCCACACAATAATACAAGATGTTTTTCTGTTTAATGAGGAAACGAGACGCAGCCTGTGATTGGCTAATTGCGACGGTGCAAAGTTAATTATTGTAATCAAAGCTGCAGCCTCTGTCTAAACCTTTTTTAAACCAGCGTCTTATTATTTCTTGCTTGAGTGGTTTTGGAAGCTGACGTCTGTCCGTGTGTTTGGTGAGAGTCCAGCCTCAGACACTTTGGTTTGAGAATCTGCCAAAACGACAGCGAGTCCATATGTGACCGTTACCACCTCGTCACTCGCTCGCAGATTTCAAACAAAACAAACATGTTTTTTTTTTTTTTTAAACAGATTATAAATGAGGAGTGGATTAAAGCTGCTGGGGCACCTAACTTTCATGTAATACACTCCTTGTAACTAGATTCTGGCTCTGAAGCAGTTTTATGGGTCTTGGGCTAGTTTTCAGTCTAGTTATCATCATTTCATGATGGGGAACATGTATTATTTATGTTTTAGAAAAATTAGGTACCGCAGCTTTAAGAGAAACTCAAGAGATTTGATGTAGAGCGTTTTTAAACCAGGCAGATGTTTGTACAGCGAGGGATTTAACGACTTAGGTCACAGAAGATAAACAACAATTATCGGCACTCGAACATATTTCATAGTTCTCACCACAGTCTTACAGCTGGGCAGCTCTGATAGTTGTTGTGATCTGTAGGTTTTCTACTTTTGCGTTCTGATTCGTCACGGGTCAAAATCGATGATGCGAGAGGAGTCCGTGCTTACGTAACGTTAGCAGCATCTGCTCATTCAGGCGCAAAGCTCTAACGCAGCGCTAATGTTTCTGTCATGGTGGAAAACACAATAGATTTAGAACTTGGACTGGGGTCTGAACCAGGGTCTGAACCAGGGTCTGAACCAGGGTCTGAACCAGGGTCTGAACCAGGGTCTGAACCAGGGTCTGAACCAGGGTCTGAACCAGGGTCTGAACCAGGGTCTGACGTTCTCTCTGGTCTCTCTCTCTCTGGTCTCTCTCTCTCTGGTCTCTCGCTCTCTGGTCTCTCGCTCTCTGGTCTCTCTCTCTCTGGTCTCTCTCTGGTCTCTCCCTCAGTGCGTTACATTGTTGCATTCTCTTGTGAACTCCTGAAGAAAATCTAAATCTAGACTTCATAAACAGTGATGTAATGTTAACATGCACAGCTGCAATAAACATATAGATGCCGCTTTCAGAATCCTGTGATGCTAATTCCTTGTGATGCTTTCTGCCTCTCTGGTCTCTCTCTCTCTCTCTCTCTCTGGTCTCTCTCCCCCTGGTTCTGGTTCATGGTTGATGGTGACTCAGATCCTCCCACTGAGATGCGTGCTGACTCTTTATGTAACTGTGAGTGGAGGAATTATTTTGGGAGGGGTGTGTCGTGTGCTGCATCCAGGACCAGGATGAGAATTACAGGCCAGTGTTTCCCACAGGTTTGAAGGCAATGTGTGGTGGTCGTCGGCGGGGGGGGGGGGGGGGGGGACACAATCTTGAGGTCATGAATCCAGTGAAATTAGTCGCACACCTTTTTACAGTAAAAAGTTACAGTAGATCAAAAGTGACATGTTTGGACTATTTTGGAGGTATTTTGGACCAAAATGGCTACTTTACCTCAATATTTCTACAGTAAAAGTTTCTGGTCTTTGGTACAGTGGCAGAGGGCAATAATAAGGTCATGAGTCAAGTGAAATTAGTCGCACACCTTATTCCAGTAAATAGTTACAATACTTGAAAATTGCACTAGCGGACCAAATTGTGTACTTTATACATGTAAACAATAGAGTGGCTATCCTCCTGAGGACTCACAATCTGCCGGAGGAATCGTAGGGGGCTGGTGCTATGTGTGCCGGGTGGCATCTCTATAAGGTTTTAATCACAAAAACGTGTCTCCCTGACCCCAGCGCGCTTTCTGTTCGATAAAAATGGGTGACTCCGAAAGGACGTTCCGCTGTTACCGTAAGTTCTCAACAAAACGCGCACCGTCTTTTCCCCGATGCTGGCCGCATGTTCATAGAGCTGAAAGATGCGGGCCACTTTACCGCGGTAAATTAATAGACACAGCTGCTTACAGCGATGATCGCTGATGGAGACGGAGACACGCGGTGTGCACGAAGGGGAGGGGCTGTGTGTGTGTAGGTCTCTGTATGTGGGAGAGACGCGTAGCTTGAGTGAGAGTTACGAAGGGCCGCCACATTTTAAACCCCCCTCCCCGCTGTCAAATTGACCGCTGCGGCGGCACTAGACGATGCATGTTTTAAATAGCGTAACAAAAAAAATATATACATAATAATACGAAACGCAATTTGTGGCGGGCGGTCTCTAATCTGTGGCGGTGCGCCACAGATTAGTCTATGTGTGGGAAACACTGCAGGCAGCAAGCGGCAAAAATAGGAGCATAGGAAAAAAACACGTTATGAGAAAGTCACAGGAAGAAAGCGGTGAAGAGGGTGGTGCCTCCTAAACCATTGATTTCTCTGGTCTCTTTCTAGTCTCTCTCTCTGGTCTTTCTATGCTCGCTCTCTGGTGTATCTCTCTGCTCTCTCTTTCTAGTCTCTCTCTCTTTCTGGTCTTTCTATGCTCTCTCTTCACTCTCTCTCTTTCTAGTCTCTCTTTCTAGTCTCTCTCTCTGGTCTCTCTTTCCAGTCTCTCTCTCTCTGGTCTTTCTATATTCTCTCACTGGTCTCTCGCTCCGGTCTCTCTCTAGTGTCTCTTTCTAGTCTCTCTCTGGTCTTTCCAAGCTCTCTCTGGTGTCTCTCTCTGGGTCTCTTTCTGGTCCCTCTTTCTTGTCTCTCTCTCTCTTGTCTCTCTCTCTGGTCTTTCTATGTTCTCTCTCTGGTCTCTCGCTCTGGTCTCTCTCTCTCTCTCTAGTGTCTCTTTCTAGTCTCTCTCTCTGGTCTTTCTATGCTCTCTCTCTCTGGTGTCTCTATCTGCTCTCTTTCTAGTCTGTCTC